AGATGAGATGAAGAAGGGAAGCAGATGTAGGCTCACATCACTCACTATCTAGTGCAAGGAACTTACTTTCAACATCAAGTTGAAAGACTTCAGAGAAGCTGATGATTGACCACAGTTGAATTTGAACACCCAGAACAGAGACTGAGCTGAAGGATGAAATTACAAAGGACATCTCCACGTCAGTCGGTCAGTCATCAGGAAGAATGGGAGACATTGAACAACATCCCTGAATGATGCTGAGTGGAAGAACATTGGAACTCTTTGAAGGAGACGTGGAAGGAAACATGCATAACCGTGTTAAGAAGGAAGGAGAATGAAGACTTGTAATGGAATGGATGTCGACGGAGACACGGAAGGTGATAGAGTGGGGAGAGGAAGATGGTGATGGTGAAGCAGAAGATGAACCAGTGTGATGCAATGCAGTGCAATGCAATGCTGTGCAGTGCGGTGCAGGGATGAGTAACGTAAAGAGGAACTGAGTACAACGTGTAAAACACTGGAGAACGAAGTAAGGAAGAATGCACGGAAAGACAAAAGACACTTGTACAATACATTGGCAAGTGAAGTAGAACAGGCTGCAAGTAGTGGAAACAGAGACCTGACAACATCATATAAAATAACCAGGATACCATCTGGTAGGAAAGAGATCAACACAGATGAAATCAATGGAAGTTAGTGAAGGAAACCTAATTACCACCAAAGAGGAGAAACGAATGAAGCGATGGGCTGACCACTTCACATAAGTCTTGAATCGACCACCACCACCACCGCCTTCGATCGAGGCGTCAACCGAGAAGTAATCTGGCAGGCAGCTGCTTCAGCATTATGGTTTTACTGCAACAAGTCTTTTTCAATCTCATTCAATAGCTACATGGAAACGCCACTTGTCAATAATTCACAACGGACAGCTTAGTGATGCCTATGAAATGAGGACAGGAGTAACACAAAGCTGCCTCCTGTCACCAACAATCTTACAGGTTGTCTCGACTGGACGAGATCATGCAACAGACAACTGCGCGTACTTGTGCGAAGGTGTCCATTTGCTTTCACAGAGATGAAAAGACATCGTAGAAATTTTAAATTTCGCCGATGTAAATTATGACTGATTTTTAATGTCTAAATTCGCACAAACATCTCCTGGTTATCCAGTTCAATAGTTACCAGACGGTCCTAAGCCCGAATAGACAGCGATGGCTGCGCACGAGCACACTGAGTTTTGGAGTGGCTATCATGATATCCCCAACAGCATCGAAGGCTCCGTATCATGCAGTAGAAACCAACCTCCTACAGGATCATGACAGCAAGGTTCAACTCAAAAGGAAGGAGGGTCACAATCATACAATGCTACGCTACGCTATGCACCTACAAATAATGCAGAGCAAGAGAAAAAGGAGGAATTCTACAGGCAACTTCAAGCAACACTGGACAAGACCTCAGCTCGGATGGCGACATCAAAATTCTGATGGGTGGGGCGACATGAATGCCAAACTGGGAGCAGACAACACAGGAAGAGAACTAACCACGGGCTGAGAAGCGCTCGGTGAGGTGATGAACGAGAATGCAGAACTGTTTGCAAAATTCTGTGCATCCAACGATTTGGTGATTGTAGTGGGGCAGTGTGTTCAAGCACAAGGATATCCACAAAGCGACATGGATTTGATTTCACTAGACACCAGGACACGCTACACCAAAAACCAGATCGACTTCATGTCAATGTGAAGAAAGTGGAGACGTCACCTACTTGACACAAGGTCAATAAGAGGAGCAGATATAGGTTCAGACAACGCACTATCTAGTGCAAGCAAACTACCTTCCAAATCAAGTTAAAAGCCTTCAAGGAAGCTGGTGATGGACCGCAGTTCAAGTACAACACTCCGAAACTGAAGGACGAAACTACAAAGGAAATCTTCACGGCAACCGTCAAGACAAAATGGGAGATATCGAGGAACATCCCTGAAGAAATCTGTGCGGAAGAACACTGGAAGTCTTTGAAAGAGATGTGGAAAGAAACCTGCACAGCCGTATTAGGAAGGAGGAAGAAAGAAGAAGATAAGGAATGGATCTCGACGGATGCATGGAAGCTGATACAGCAGGGAGAGGAGGATGGTGAGGCAGAAGATAAACCAGTGCAAGGATGCTCAACGACAAGAGGAACTGAGTACAATGTATAAAACACTACACTAGACAAAGAAGTGAAGAAGAGTGGGTGGAAAGACAAAAGACACTTCTACGAAACACTGGCAAGTGAAGCAGAACAGGCTGGAGGCGGGTAAGACAGATCTGACAACATTGTATCAAATAACCAGGTTATAGTCTATCTGGGAAGAGATCAACGCAGACGAAACCAATAAAAGGTGATGACGGAAATTGAATTACGAAAGAAGACAAACGAAGGAAACAATGGGCCAACCACCTCAAGAAGCTCTTGAATCGACCACCACCTGCAGCCGCAGAACCACAAGTGAACATAAATCCTCCAAAAAAATGGAAGTCCAGAGCACCATAAAGCTACTGAAATGCGGGAAAGCAGCAGGACCAGATAAGATCCCGCCAGAAGCACTGGAAACAGACACAGAGACAAGAGCAGCGGAGATGCTCACACCACACCATTATTGCACAGGGTGTGGAAGGAAGAGAAGGTACCTGGCCATAGATTGGAAGAAGGCCTACCTTGTCAAACTGCCGAAGAAGAGAGACCTCAGTGTTTGCAAGAACTGGCGCCGAATCACTCATCTATCCACCCAGAGCAAGCAAAATATTAAGCCGCATCATCCTGGAGAGGCTAAAGGGTGCACTGGGTTCAAAATTAACACCGGAACAGGCTGGTCGGCTAGATTCAGGAAGCACAAATCATGTGCAGACCAAATTGCAACGCTACACTACGCATCATCATAGAAGAGAGTATAGAATGGCAGTCAACCCTCTACCTCACCTCAAATTCATCGATTTTGAGAAGGCATTTGACAGCGTCGATCGAGAGGAAGTGTGGAAACTGCTTCAATACTACGGAATACCGCAAACATTTATCAGCCTCATTCAACAACTATATGCAGACGCCACATACCAGCCAAGTAATTCACAATGGGAAGCTCAGTAATGCTTTTGAAGTGAAGACAGGAGTAAAATAAGGCTGCCGTCTACTGTCACCCATGATATTCCTGATTGTGGTCTACTGAACTGGATCATGCAGCAGACAACAGTGGGGAGCGAGAAGAGGGGGATAGGCTGGCTGGACCGGGGCAAAGATCCTAGAAGATTTCGATTTCGCCAACGATGATGATTTATGTCTAATGTCACACAAACTTGAAGATGTACAGGCAAAAACCAACAAGTTGACAGAAGAGGTGAGGCAGCGAACACGTGACACCATTCAAGTGAATATAGAGAAGACAGAGGTGATGAAGATACCCAACCAACACAACCACCACCACCACCACCACCAACAACAACAACAACAACAAGAAGCTCCAATCACCATCAACAGGGGAACCTAAAGAAAGTAGCCTCCTCCACCTATCTAGGCGGCACTGTTCAAACTACACATCACGGCACAGACGCGGATGTCAAAGCCAGCCAGGATCGGAAAAGCAAGACAGGTGTTCATTAGCCTGAAACCAGTGTGGAGATCTTCTGCACTCAGCATAAAGTGTGAACAAGATGCGGATTTTCAACACCAGTGTCAAGTTAGTGCTTCTCAGTGATGGTTGAGAGACTTGGCGCGTTACGAAAGGGATTTCCAACAAACCAGAGACATCTATCAACAACTGCCTACGCTGGCTCGTTACTGAAGATCGGATGGCCAGAATAATAAGAATAAGCAACAAGGAACTCTGGCCTGCTAACGAACCAACCAAGAACCTATCACCCAACAAACATGCGGAGGGAAGTGGAGATGGATTGGGCTGACTGGGGACATCACGCATCAGACTCTCGAGTGAAACTCAGATGGGAAGCGACGAGTTGGGCATCCGAGGTGGGGGTGACATAGAGGAGATCGTGTGAGGAGGAAATGAGAGGTTGTGGGCTGTCGTGCAGCCAGGTTGAAAAGATTTCAGAGGACAGAGCGCATTGGAGACGTGCGACTGAAGCCCTATATTCCATTAGGAACCCAAAAGACAAGTAAAATATATTAAAAATAATAATTCGCACAAACTCGAAGATCTACAGGCCAAAACTTACAAGTTCGCAGAAGAGGCGAGGCGAGGCAATAGAGTAAGACAGAACTTCTTTCAGGTGAACGTAGAGAAGACAGAGGTGTTGACGATACCCAGCCAACAATAACAGCAACAACAACAACAACGACAAGAGGCACTAGTCATCATCAATGAGCGAAATCGAAATGAAGTTATCTATTTCACCTACCTACCTAGGCAGCAATTTTTCAACTTCAGGTGGCTGTACAGATGAGGACGTCAACACCAGGATCGGAAAGACAGCAAGACAGGCCTTCACTAACCTAAAAATCAGTTTGGAGATCTACTGCACCTCACTCCACTGCACTCAGCATAAAGCGTGAACAAGATCCGGATTTTGAACACTTATGTCAGTCAAGTCAGTCCTTCCATGCGATGTTACAGAAACTCGGCGCATCACAATAAGCATTTCCAACAAACTAAGACATTCATCATCAACAGCTGCTGCTTACGTTCTCCGGATACTGAAGATCAAATCAGATGAGAAGACGGGGATGAATAAGGAACAAGGGACTGTGTTCTGGTAACCAACCAACAACGCATCGCCGAGCGAATATGCTGAATATGCAATGAGGTTTTGCGGGGTTGGTTAGGCTTGGTTAAAATGCTGCAGCGCATAGAGTGAAATTTTGGCGTGCTGCTGAATCCCCATATTGCGGTAGGAAACCACGGGACTATTTATAGTAGATTTATATATCAAGTATATGCTGAGGTATGAGTAGGAATTATCCTTTTTTGGTAGATTTATTTTCTTCGTGATAATAATCTTGTCGGTTTAATTTTCTATTCCTGATCTTGCATTTTGGAATGGATTCAGACGAAAATATTCCTGGAGTTTTACTTTCGTTGCCAACAGTACGATCAAATCAGACGCATCGAATAATTCGTATACAGTGGAAGTTGAATACAAGCTTGCCATTAATATGCCCTTTCAATACATACGCTTTTGCCAAATCGGATAACGAGTTGTTGGAATATCAAACAGATGAGAACCACTATCAGTTCGAATCTCTTAAAATAGATGAAACATACCGTGTTGGAGTGCTGGTAAAATCTACGCAACGTTTCGTTGAAAATAGAATGTATGTTATGTGTAAGTTTAACTGGTATCGTTTACTGTGATTGGTTGGTTGTCATATGAAAAAGTTAGCTAAATAGTTGGCAGAAGATCCAGAAATCATTTCGCGATAGATTAAATATTCCCGGATTGAAGAACTATTTCTAATCGTGAAAATTTAGCCGTGTAAACAAATGACTCCAACTTTCTTTTGGATTCGTTTGATATATTCTCTTTATTTGTCAAGATCTGGAATGATAAGACGATTTGAATTGTTTGCTGATGACCTAAGTTGTTTAATTGTGCTGAAGAAGACATTAAAGGATCGTAAAGTCTCTCTCCAACAATATTCGATCCCTTACCATTGAGGAACTGCATAAGGAGACTGATATGATCAGTTAGACATTATCAACATTTATTCTTGCATTACTGCGTAACTGTTTAAGTCGCAACAGTATATCACTACGTATAGGTAGTAGATACAAAGATGAAGGTCAGAATTGTCGTGAACGTGTAGAAATAAGAGAAAAAGGATAAAAGATTGAGAAACTATGGGATTATAATTGGGATGAAGATTTTGTGTAGATGCATCTACGCAACATAGGTCAACAGTTGGCAGCATCAAATGAAGACTCCAACCACCGATTTCGTTAGCCATGCAGACATTCCTGTGGTCAACTTGGACCATCATTTGGAGACTTGATGCCGTGATGTCAGGTTTCATTCTGGCTACCTCTAAGCTTCTTCTAGTCTAAAGCTACTTTACTTGGTATTATGTGACAAGGCAAACAGTGACTAGAAATGTGTAACACATGCCCCAACCACCTTATTTGATGAAGCCTCATAGCTTCGTCAACCGATTTTCACAATTTAGTTAAGTCATTCCGATCTATGTCTAAAAAGGGGTGATGATTAGCCACTTTCTGCTCTGGTAACATCATACTGAATTGAAAGGAGCGGCCTTCACCTACAAACTTTTAACGAAATGTAATGAGCTCGTTTTACTTCCTTTACTTATGTTCATATGTGAAGTTCATCAATCTTCTTTTCAGCATTACTGAGTGATAGGTAAACTTCTGCGGTACACTATTTGCTAAGATTCTGGATTCCTCTTTCCAAGGATCCACAAATTGACGCCTTGCTCTTTTATCGCTTATGTTTGTGATATTGCTTGTCACTTGTTAGTATGATTTACTGGTAAATAATACTTACCAGAGTGTAATAAATCAAAAAACTTGTTTAATATGAAATAAAAATTTACCACAGAACACAGATTCCACCTTTACATTGTTGTATCTCTTTCAACTATATCGTCAAACCTTACCAATGTTCATTTTCCACCTGCTCAACAGTGGTGTCCATAGGCAGTGAAGAAGGTACGAGCATGCTACCGTGCACATAATTCACGTTAATCATCATCAAGAGTATCAACGTTAAAGCTCTTCCAAAACATAAGAGTTTCTACAAATGTCACCAATTCAAAAATCAGTGCCTAGTAATCAAATGCAAGAACTGAATAAGCAATATGTAATCGATTATTGCATCGATTTCTGAAAAACTACTATGACAGGAAGTCATCTGAAATGTTCAAACTAAATCTTGTTGTTGTGACTGCTAGGACATGCCAGTATCAGCACTGTTCAACCCATGGAACAGCTACTTTCTCATCAACGAAACCACCTAGAATCTAATTCACGATACCGCAATTAGTCAACCTTAGCTTCAGGCTAGAACTCATCATGCACTGACATCAGTTGGAGGAACATTGGAAATCTAGGTAGGGACACTGAACAGCTGTTTTGCTCTTGGATGGGACTCCTCAGCAGTGCGCACCCACGACCCTACCAGGGATAAATCCCACGGCCATCACATTAGCCTTTGAGCCACTCGCATGGAGTACAGTAGTCGATGTTTCCTAATTCTTGAACAGACAGAAGTGGAGAATATGGACTCCCAGATTTCCAATGTTCTTGCAACTGATATTGGTTTATGATGAATTTCAACTTGAAATCGACTAATTAATTTCCAAAAACCGAATAAGTGTCTTTGTCATGCAGCCAATAAAAGTTAGATAACCGAAGCACAACTTGAAATTAGCGAGTCCCCATTTGCTACCAAACAGTAATTCGCCACTGTTTACACTATTGGTAGTGGCATCAGGGTTAAATCAGAGTATGGCGTAGACGTACCGGTGATAGATGAAACATAAACCACGTGAGACGAAACTTGGATAAAGTTAATTTCTGCTAGCTTAGTACGTGGACATACTATTCATAAGCTACAATGGTCTCTGACAGCTTACCTGAGTCAGTTTTCGCACCAGCTTTTGCTGCAACTGCCATGCATTTCTTCAATTGAAAGCAGAGGCAAATGAAAATGAGGTTAGCAGACGCGATCAGTAGGTGCTGAAATCAGTCTGCTCTAATTAAGCTACTCAGTTTAGAAAATCAATGCATTCCACAAAGACGAAAACTTTCGGTAGACTGATAAGAAACTATTCATATAAGCAATAAATATGTTTCACATACATGAGATTAGTAATTGTCCGGGTCTCTGAAGTTTGAAAATAACAAGATAATAGGTTACTAGAAAAGTTCGGTTCAGTTGGATTACTCAGAATCGTTAGGCGTTCGAATATTTCACATACATTCAAATGGATGTGAACCATTGTCACGCTAGACAATTCCTCACTGTTTTAATCCATTTAGGGAATCGTCCTTATGTGAAATTGATAGCCACGGAGGTCAGTCACTCATTTCGCACACCTACGGAATACTCACGAGTGAGAGACCAAGAAAGAACACAATAGGGTAATTAGATAGAAATAGTATACTTGACAGACAGTGACAAAATACCAGTTTACCTTGATGAATTAGTTAAAGGATCACGTAAGAGTGACGTAATGTAACACGACAATGTACAGGATGGCAAGAATACATGACCGTATGACTTCAGCTTAAACAGTTCATTAAAAATATGAAGGTCAGCATCATACTGAATCTCATCCAACCACAAGCTATTTACCTTGAAGAATTATTTACAGCCACAACATCATCCAGGGAATCTGTAGTGATGTGGCCCACGATAAATTTTTTGTCTCTGTTCTTGTATAACTAGAAGTAGCAATGTTATATTTATCAATCAGATTTCAGATTGTTGCACACAAAACATATTTTACTTAATTATATTCTTCTGTTGTCCGTATAATTATTCTGTTATTCTCTCACCGCTTATTTTCTTGCAGATGAAGCATTCAAGGATGAACCAGAGTGAGTTGGTTGGAAAGTATCTTGCTTCATAGTATTGTATGTTAGTCTTCCAGAAATTACATCACGTAACCCAATCAGCCACACCTGACTGATAAAACTAACTGGAACTGTTGTTAAAAATGAAATAATAATACTGTTTTGAATGATTTCAATTATTTCTTCTCGTTCTACATAACGTACATCTGAAGAGTAATAGCTGAGAAAAATCTTCTTATTAGTGATATTATGTGACGGCGGATTGCTGTCTCAATGACGATACGTTGATCCCAATTCAATAAAAAATTCAACCATTTTTCATTTGTTTCAATTAGCGGTACGCTGCGTTTGTAGTGGAATTGTTTGTTTTAATGGTCGTCATGAGGTGTTTAAGAGAAAAGATTTGACTCAAGATAGAAATTCTTTCCGTATACTTAAAATTGACTTCAATTGGCTGGCTAAAAATAAGAACTATATGATATATCCATTGACGTATGTGCGATTAAACACAATAATATAGTCACTCTGGATAGAATATATTGTTTAAGTATATGAAGGTTATCAACGATGTGTGCTTCTGTATAAAAAGCCTTCAGACTGAACGAGTATCATTTTAATTTGATACGTTGCATTCAAACTCAGGATTTTAGTGAAGTCTGCTTTCACTGCAAGTTAAAAGTGTAATTTTCATGACGAAGTTGCAGTTTCACAAAAGGATAAGATAACTGACACACCTATAATTGTCGAAGTAGTGACTGTGGAATAACTGGGAGATGAAATCGGGCAAAAGCGGTTCTTGGCTCTGTGGCCGGTCAAATATCTGCACAGATACGAAAGGCTCGACTAGCTTTCGCCAAATTAGGCCACCTGTGGCGCCACCGTAATATCCGATTGTCTATTAAAGGTCGCGTGTACTGCACAGAAGTTCGCTTTGTTCTACTGTATGACTGTGAAACATGGTCATTGAAGGTGGAAGACATGGGAAGGCTTTAAAAGCTTGACCAACGTTGCCTTCGTAGTACAGGCCGTATTCCGTGGTGTCACCACATGAGTAACGCAGAAGTCAGGAGTACAGTCTAAGAGAGAAGAGGTCAGTCAGTTGACGAGGTTGTGAACCTTCATAGACTAAGATGGCCCGTTGGGACACGTGTTACGCATGCCTAGTCGCCGATCGCCTCGTCACACAATGTTGAATGAAGTAGGTCTAGGCTGGAAAAAGGCCTGAGGTGGCCAGACTAAAACATGGCACCAATGTATGAAGTCACTGACTGTTGGTTTGAGCCATGTGGGATGATGTAGACTAGGTGGTTGAAGACTGCAGGACAAGAGGAACCAGTAGTTGGAGACTCTAGGTGATGTGGCTGAGAACTGCTGTCAGTGGTGCAGGTGTACACACACATTATCCTCATCTTAACACTATACCAATTCTTACCATTTTGTCATTCTTCCTTTCTTTCTTCTCGTACTTTATATTTCTTTTGACTGAATTTTCTTATCTTCATCTTGCAGTTCACTATCTTTCTACTTGATGTACTGATTTGAGGTGTGGCAACTTGGGCCGTTACGCAGTAATGCCTGGTTCTAGTTCGATCTGAATGGATGGATAGCGGTTCTACAAAATTTTAAGCCATAATAAGGATATATACTTCTTTGGTGAAGTGTGCAATATGAACAACGCAAAAAAAACCAAAAAGCGGACAATCAACATTCATGTATGCTAAAAATCCTGGACGGTATCCCAACTATTATCTACCATTTGGTTAAACGTACCCATTTCTCTTGTCAAATTATTTGGTGAACGTTCACCTTCAGGAAAGTTC